TGCATTACCAAACAATGACACTAATTCTAAATTAGTTCTTAAAGTTTTCAGCATTTTAATTTCATCACAAACTATCAGTATATGCTAATGACATCCCTTGTTTATAAAACCGTTAGGACAAACTATATTACTATATGTTTTGAATAATTAACATTTAGGTTAAACTACATCTTAAACTAATTACATATTTCGATGAAATTGGAAGATTCAAAAGTTTGCGGTCAATTTAAAATAAAGGTAATGGTTTGGGGATGAAACAAGAATGTTTAAATGTTTAAGAATTAATTTAGAATGAAAGTTATAATTTAAGGATGGAATTAAAATATTCAAAATTTAAGGATGAATTTAAAATAAAAATCGTAATTTAAAAACGTATGGTACAATAAACTCTATATGTTTTAATATAATATATTTAATTTTTCAAGCTCGTCCACCTTATCATAATGGTAAAGGTGATGATAGCTTTTTTGTTTGGCATATGCAGAGATAATGATATTGTTCACTTTCAAGGGGAAGCATCTCATGCCTGCATGTGTTGGATCTATAATTAATTGAAATTTTTGAAATATATATTTTGATCGAATTTAGTTGTAAAATTGGTGTTTTGGAATAAATATTTTGTAACTAACGAAATTAATAAAGAAAATGATAGATTACCGTTAATTAGTAATATACAAATTTTATGTGACAATTTCTAGACCAGAAATGATCACCGATAAGGACAAGAATTCCACTATAGTAAAAAATTGTACGAAATTATAAGTTATGAAAATCCTAAGTACACATATAAATACGCATTTATTCAATTAATTGAGTGGTATGATTTTTATTATGAAAAATCTTTACGTTCATCATAAATTTTAATTTCTTTAAAAAAGCATTCATTAAATAAGATATATCACAAGCTTTTTAAATAATAAAAAATAAAATTCAAGTCACGATTTTTTTTAAAAAAAAATGGACTAGTTAACAAACAATCCATTTGTTGGATGGTGTATGCATTAACATTTCCACCTACTTTCTATCGATTTTATGTTTGTTCAATGAATTAAAAGAGAGACAAACTAAAATAGAAATAGTATTTGATACTATTCCCTAGAAGATGTCGTGTCATCTTATTATTGATAGGGGTAAATTGCATTGCATGTCACTCAATCATTAATATGATTATAAATGTGTTAATGGATTTTATATACTTATAAGTCAATCAATTTTCACAAACGTATAATTGTGCCATTAAAAAAATAAAATGAACATTACAAGGCTTTGTTAGAAAACAAATTTAGAAACAAGTCACATGGTCTAGATCCACTAAGAGCATTTTTCTTCCTTCTTCTAGAGTCTACCTTTTCAATCTCAATCCCTCTAGGTAGGATTAAGATTAGATTTAGAATTTGTAGAAAAATATATAAAATAAATGAATGATTTTTGGATAAATTACAATGCATGACATTCAGTTATTGATAAAATTACAAACAAATCATTTAATTATTTGTAAGATTACAAATAAGTCACTAAAATTCAAAAAGCCACAAACGGGTAACTCACGTTTTGGGCTTCTCAAAGATCATAGGTTCTATTCAACGATCCGAATGGTGGTGAGGCCGTTGTTGGCGAGAGCAAGAACATATTTTGAGACGAAACAATCTGACGATGAACAATATAGATAGAGGTTCAACGAGTTCAAAAGTTTTGAGGTGATATTATAATTTCTAAGAAATGGTCTAATACGATGAATTAATCAAAGAGATCGAAATAAATCTTACGGGTAAAACAAGTGTCAAAGTAAACGGTTTCCAAATAATGTAATGCGACAAAGCTTCTATAAAACAACAGAATGGCAGTTGCCTAACAATGTCGGGGTTCTTGTTTATCGTAGCATTCGAATTTCAAAAGTTAAAGGCTTGGGAATTTTCGCACTGTCATGCAAATGGTGAAGAAAGCAATACAAAAGACCCCTTGAAAATTAGGGCAAATATTCAAAGCTAAAGATTCGATGGAGCCAAAGTGATTTCTGATACCCTAGTCGGTGTGTTTGGTAGCCAGACAGAGGGTTCCCTACTAATCTATGGTCAATGATGAATCGACGGGTTCGGTTGTACTTTTATAAAAGTTTTAAATTTTTATACAGTATAAATAATTTTATTTACATGTTTTATTGATAATTTAATTCAATATTTTTTAAAATTCTGTAATTTCATATACATTAAATTATTTATATAACTTCATAAGTTTGTATCTCAAACATAAAATATTTTATCGGTCTTTATCTATGGTCCAATGCCTTTGTTATATATTTTTCTTGAAAAAATATAAGAAAATTTATACGAGAAAAGTTATATAATGGATAATGTAATTATTAATATTTATATTGTTGTCAATTGATGTAATTTTAACGAAAATGAGGATTAAGCTGTAATTTTTTTAATATATCAATGCACATTACAGTCTACTTGTATTTCATTATTGATATGAGAGAGTATCATGTAATCAAATAATTTTAAAATTAAAAGAAATATATATTTTAAAACAAATTTAATATAAAATAGTATAAGGTGAAGTACGTATCATTCTAATAAAATACCATTACATCAGTAATAAAATATGAATAAATTGTCACGAAAACTACGACTTAAGTGTCGTAATAATTCAATAATCTAATCATAATTTTTGTTAAGATCAGTCCAATTTGACTAAAAGAAGTGTTGAGATCTCTTATGTCATAATTTTTTTTAGGAATAATCCTTTGGAAAAGCTCGAAAGATTAGACTATCCATGCACTTGAGAAACAACGAAGGTTGTCGGAGATTCTTTACTTAAAATCACAATAAGATCACTAAATTACTTCCATTTTTTTCCAATTCAAATTCATAAAAATAAATTTATAATTCCTTCCCATCTCAATCAAAATTAAAATTTAAAACTTTCTGATCCATTATTACCAATCATCATATCATCTTAAAATCAAACTATGCTAAATTTATGGCCAAACATATCATTTATACTGTTCTGTTAATAAAAAAAATTAACCTTTTGTAGCATTTACAAATTTGATACCTTATTATTATTTAAGAAAGAGTCATTAACGTGCTACATCATCATTTCTTGATGTCTGTTGACGGTAACGCCATAATGAAAGTGGATTAAAAGTTCAATGATTATAACGCAGTTTTAAAAGTTAAATGACTAGAGTGAAGTGATTACTAGTGTAGTTTACCCATAAAAATAAAAGGGAAAAGCTGACAAACGCGGTTTTGAAGTATCCCTAATTAAAGCAAAGTATAGACGTAGTGATATACACTTTCTCTTTAATATATTGCCTTTATTATTGCTTTTGAAAAAAGAAGCCATTTGATGTTACACTTCATGTCTCATTTTTATTCTTACAAATTTCATGTTTTCTTCTTTAATCTCTTTGATGTTTTACTTAATGAGAAAGATTTCTTTTCATTTGGCAATTAGTGCGTTTAAGATTATGAAAAATTACCGATAATCAGTTGATTCGATGAGATGAGATATTAAATCTGTTAAGTAAGGTTGTAAGTTTAAATCTTGACGTTGTGAATGTAGTAAACTGTGTTGGGAATGTCACCTCCACAGTAAATTTTTACAATATCCAATCTGAATTAGTAGAACAATAAATCAGATACCAATGATTAAATTACTATTTTTTTAGAGAGACTAATTTGTCCGATCTATAAATTGAGAATGACTTAAGAGATCATTTAACCGTTTTATACAGTGAAAGGCTGAAAACTATGGACTGAAAAGCAATTAAATGTGTTTTTTAATTAGTTTGGGAAAGTAAAAGTTGACGAGAGATTTTCCTTTCTTCTTTGGAATGCAAAACTGTTTTAGTTAGTGATCCAAATTTTTAAATCTTCTAATTTTATCCCAAATCATAGGTTATGCTAATAACATTCACGTTAATAAAATCGTTAGGTTAATTTATATTATTATATGTTTGAAAAAAATTAGATTAAACTATGATTGAAATTAATTATATATTTAGATGAATTTGGGAATTAAATTGATAGATTCAACAGTTTAGGGATTAATTTAGAATGAGAGTAATATTTTAAAGATGAAATTGAAATATTAAAAAGTTTAAAGACTATTTTAAAATGAAGGTTATTGTTTAGGGATAGAAGTAAAATATTTAAAATTTTAAAGATCAATCTAAAAATAAGAATCATGATTTGAAAATATATAATACAATTAATTCAAAATATAGAAAAGTATTGAAATCTAAAAGTGAAAAAAATTAATATTATCTTGAGCAATGGGCATAGGCACACAGGACTCGATGCCCCTTGTTTAGGTATTTAGAGCAAATAATAATGTTTTTGTTTTCGTTTTTTAGATCTTTTTGCCCTTTAGTGTTCCGTAATTATACGACCCTCTCGCTCTATAGATAATATACTTTGTTCCATCGTTAGTTTTGCTCAACCTCCCTTATTTTTACGGTGTAAAGTATATAAATACTCTCAAATGATTCATTTGTTAAGTTTATCAACTATTAAAAATTATAAAATGATTATCTGATTATTCATATGTTTTTAAACTCATTATTTTTTTATTAAACAATTGACGATCGTCTGAACTGAACGTTAATCTATTCATTAAGATATAATAAAATCATATTTTAAAGATATCTTATTGATACCGTTGTTACTTTCGATCAATAAATTAACGTTCAGCTCATATCACTACTAATGTTTTAACGGGTGATGGACGAGTTTAGAAGAAAAATTCTGGAGTTTTACCATGACATGTAATATTGATAACAATATTATTTTGCAGCACCGACACGAGCATAAATAGAGCACACCCAACACTGGGAGTGGGAACGAAACCATGAGTCCATGACCTAAGCCATCCCCGATAGCCTCTTCTCCACGACTCAACCTCCCTCTTTAATTCCTTCACCTTCCCATCCAACTCTCAATATATATATATATATATGTATTCATTGTTTTAGTTAATGTGATTACCCTCTTACATTCCAAAAAACCATGCCAAAGCCGCCCCATTTATCCGTCTTCATTGTTGTTGTTCTTGCTGCTCTTTGTTTATGGTGTACTGGCACGAATGCCGGTACAACCAATGAGTTCCTCGAAGCCGAGTGCTTGAAGGTACCGGCAGCCGAGTTTATAGGTTCTTTGAGAACCACCATTGATGCCATAAGAAAAGCTTCCTCCGTCGTTTCTCGGTTCGGAGGCTTATTTCATGATTTTCGCCTCTCTAATGCCATTTCCGATTGCCTTGATCTGCTCGACTTCTCGGCCGACGAGTTAACCTGGACTCTGTCTGCTTCCCAGAATCCTAAAGGTACTATATAAATTTTCTCAGTTGCTTTTTCCCCCCCGGAAAAAGTTTAGCTTCTATTTATTTTTAAAATATATTTTTACTTTTGTATGTTCATAAATTCTGTTAATTTTATCTTTTCAAAATTATTTTTTCATTTATATTTAATAATTAATAAAATTATAAATATAGATGATTAAAAATATAAACTAACAATTTTGTATTTTTTTATAACCGCCAAATCAACCATTAACAGTAAAGTCAAACATAAACTAGAGAGTAACAGTGTCCCATTGATTAATTTGATTGGTGGATAAATTGAATTAATTAAAATTAAAATAATTATTAAATAAATTATCCAATAATTGATTCTGAATCAAATTAATTGATAATCAAATTAAAAAAATAATTGTTAACCGACTCAAGATCTAATTACCTGAAGGACTAATCGAATTAAATTTGAGTTCGGTCCGTTAATTCGATTAAAATTGAATATTGAATACCCCTAGTAAGGAGGGCGAGGATGGATCGAGGGAGGAGTGGCCTGGAAATTTGAAACTCTCATATAGTTTATGTATTTTCTATTAATTATCTAATTTCAGTATTTCACACCCTAAAATTTTGTAATTTTGTACCCTTAAAACTTTAATATAATTTATTGAGTTGTACCTTTGATAGAAAACCCTGTGTCCATCCTAAAGGAAGGATCAACAATTCTAAATAAAAAATAATCGATAAATTTAATATAGTAAAATTAAAGTATAGTGATCAAATTTTAAATTTTGAAATAGTATAGAAATTAATTGTAATATTATTCTACTGTTTATTTGCAGCTAAAGATAACAGTACTGGTGATCTAAGCTCTGATTTAAGGACATGGTTAAGTGCTGCAATGTCTAACCAAGACACATGCGTTGATGGCTTTGAAGGTACAAGTAGTATAGCCAAAACTGTAGTTGCAGGGAGCGTTAACGGCATCTCTTCGATGGTCCGAGATCTTCTCACCATGGTGCATCCCAATCCGAGTTCTCGGTCCAATGGCACTGGTAAAGGTGGCATTGGCGGTCATCCGAATGAGAAAGTTCCGAATAAGAACCAATTCCCATATTGGTTCAAAAGGGAGGATCGAAGATTGTTGCAAGTAAACGGAGTAACGACTAATGTCGTGGTTGCTGCTGATGGGACCGGGAATTTCACTACCATAATGGATGCAATCGCTACCGCGCCTGACGAGAGCTTGAGCAGATACGTTATTTATATCAAGAAAGGTGTGTATAAAGAGAATGTGGAGATCAAGAAGAAGAAATGGAACATTATGATGATTGGGGATGGAATGGATGTCACGGTTATATCGGGAAATCGAAGCTTCATCGATGGCTGGACGACGTTCCGATCCGCCACATTTGGTAAGTATGGTACATTTGATGTTGTCCTTAAGGTCTATTGTATGTGAATTTTGAATGTCTTGTCCTGAAATCTGCAGCTGTAAGTGGGAGAGGCTTCATAGCAAGAGACATAACATTTGAGAACACAGCAGGACCCCAGAAGCACCAAGCGGTAGCATTGCGGTCCGACTCGGACCTCTCGGTTTTCTTCCGATGTGCAATCAGGGGCTACCAGGACTCGCTCTACACCCACACGATGCGTCAGTTTTTCCGGGAATGCACGATCACTGGGACAGTTGATTTCATATTCGGTGACGCCACCGCAGTGTTCCAAAACTGTCGAATCCTAGCCAATCAAGGCCTACCGAACCAGAAGAACACCATCACAGCTCAAGGTCGCAAAGATCCGAATCAACCGACCGGCTTCTCCATTCAATTCTGCAACATCTCGGCCGATACAGATTTGTTACCTTCGGTTAACTCCACTCCTACATACTTGGGGAGACCCTGGAAACTGTACTCAAGGACCGTTATCATGCAATCCTACATTAGTGATGCCATAAGACCACAGGGGTGGCTTGAATGGAACCAAGATTTTGCTTTGGACACATTGTACTATGCCGAGTACATGAATTCCGGGGCGGGGGCTAGCCTCAGTGGCCGAGTTAAGTGGCCCGGCTACCATGTTTTGAACAATTCTGCTCAAGCTGTTAACTTTACGGTGACTCAATTTATTGAAGGAAACCTGTGGTTGCCGTCAACTGGTGTTAAATACGCCTCAGGGCTTGGGGTATAGCTAACTAAAAGCAATCAATATAAGTTTTGCTTATGTACTTGATATAGCATCCTTTTTCATATAATACTGTATTCCTAGAAGGTTATGATTTGAAAAATTTATATATTTTTATATGTGCTACATCGCCATATATATATTTCAAATCCATATAAAAATATTTGATGGGATTAATTAAAAAATTGATCTCAAGTTGAAAATACAAATTTTAGAAAGTAGAGGGATTAAATTAGCCAAAAAATCACAATACAGGGACCTTCTAAAAAATTTGGTATTATTATCATACTAAAAGAAATTGATGAAGTGGTCCTTAGTAAATGGCCTATGTATAATTTATACCATTAACTAACGATATCTTATAAGACCAGGAGTATCAATAAAAGAAGAATGGGGTCACGGCTTCTTCTTCATGTACTTGCCCGTTTTGATCATTTTCCCGATTTTTCAGCTTTTACAGACGATGGGTTTATGGCTCGGGATATCAGATTTCAAAACACAAAAGGTCCTCAACAACTGAACAAGCCTTGGCACTTTCTGTTGCGTCCTATCTTTCGATATTTTGCAAGTGGGGGTATGGGGACACATTATACGCACTTTCCCTGCGTCAATTTTATAGGGAATGCGATATTTACTGTACGATTGGTTTTCTATTCGAAAAAGTCACCATGGTTTTCCCGAGCTGATGTCACTCTTCTGTCCTCACATATCCTCATAAACAGAAGATTGGGTTCCGGACAAAACACCGGCTTCTCGGTTCAAAATTGTTGGATGGTGCCTAACTTGGATTTTTCTCCCGTCAAACATAGCTTTAACTCATATTTAGGAGGTCCTCGACACAAAATTTGAGAGCTTACTCAAAATTGATGTTATTTTGCCGAATATTTGAATGCTGGACCCGGAGCCGGAACTTCCAGGAGGGTAACATGGCCCGGATTCCTTTTTATCAGCCGTGATGAAGCTGCAAAATTCACTGTTGGTAAGTTCCTTGCTGGAAATATATGGCTGCCTTCAACTGGTGTAACTCTCATCACGGGCCTCCGGTAATTGGGTACTTAAACCATATAACACATAATGCAGTGGTTTAATTCACTGGAGCTCCTACGCGGATTGTAATTCACATTTTGTCCCTTTCACCTTCGTCATCATATTTTAAATATAAATATAATCTAACTTTTAATATAACATAAATGCAATATGTCGAAACGATTTTTTCTTAAAAGGCGAAAAAATGTGAGATTTTAAAAACCACATTAATTCTTAATTGTCTCTTTTTATTTTAAAAACATATGCGATTTAAAAGACCTCTCGTTTCGAAAAAATTTGAATTTCCTTTACGATCGAAAAAGACGGTTCGAAGAGTCACCACCAATCTTTGATTAGGGTGTGATTGGGCACCCAAAAATGCTTTGTCGTTTTAAATAAAAATTAATTTTAATTAAAACAACAAATTGAGGTCTGCGTTACCAAAATCCGAGTTCGGGAGTCAGTTACGTGTGGGGAAGGATTAGCACCCCCACAACGCCCTAAATCGGTACCTAGTCGATTAATTAACGTCTTTGCAATGAACTTTATAAATTCGAACTTAATTTGATTTTTGATCCCATAAAACAATGACGTAAATTTAAAAAAAATTCAAAAGCACTCAAACAAATTAAATTAAAATTACCAAGTCGTTTTAGAAAGATAAAGAATGTTTGATTATTTACAAATATCGAGACCATATCTTAAAGATATAACAACCTTTTCTCGATATATTTAAATAAACGAACATTTCCTTTTCTCTCTTTCACAAATTTTAGGTGACGAATCAATTTTTTTGTTTCACTTTCGGGATACACTTTTATTTTAAAATCATTAAAAGCGGACCTCAAATCAGTTATGACTGCCCACTTAAAACAATTTTAAATTAAAAGGGTATTACCCTTAGTCCGATTATGTAATATGTCAAGTTATGCAAATGAGGATATCATACAAATTGTGCAAAAAATATGTCATGCCAAAAATTAATTAAACAAAATTAAAAATATCATACAACATGATATACAAAAAATTATATACGTATATTTTAATTAAAAATCAATGCATATTAACATATTATGTACACATATGACCTAAATATAAAAATAAAAAACATAACATGCCAAACTATAAATTTAAAAAGTGTATATATACATAAATGTAATGATTAAATTTAAATGTATGTAAAATTAAATTTATAAATCAAAAATAAATCAGTGACCTAAACATAAAATACTAAAATTACAGGGTCTGATATAAAATTTATCTTATTCGGTTTAAACTAAAATAACATGGAAAATAACATAAATGACACTAGACATTTAAAACAACTAAGAAAATTTAAACAAATAAGCGACTGTTTTAGAAAAACACAAAAATCTAGAAGGCCTAAAAATAATATATCCCTAAAGTTATGGTGACTAAGAGTTAATTTACCCAACAATTTTATATAAAACCTAACTCTATGCTTAAACCTAGGCTAATTCACGTTGGAACCCCCAAAACACTTACCCCTGCCGCAGCTTCACTCTCCACTTTCCTTTTCAACTCTCTCTTTCACCCACGCTAAATTGAAATTTCAAACACCATAGCCATCGACCTAAGCTCCAACGAAGTAACTGGACTGAAAGGTAAACAACCTAACTCATCTCTCATTTTCTGATTATATTTGTTTACTTAAAAAACCCTTACGTAAATCTAACCATCAAAGCACAAAAACCTACCTTTGAAACTCTAACACCGCTTTAGACTCTCGGCCTTTCAACCCATACAAACCTGGTCACCATTCAACGCCCAGAACTTTCTCCTATGCGCCTACACCTTAAAACCAAGTAGAGGAGACTTTAACCGAGACCTTACACCACCCTTCCATCTCTACTTAGATTTAAACTCAAAACCGAGCCTCTCATACGCATGCAAACCCCTACTCCGACGACATTGTAATCTCTAAGAAAGGACCTTAATCACTATCACTCACTTACTTCGACTACACACATACCCGAAGGTAAACCCAACCGCTCTCACTTCTATTTTGAGTTTCGTACTTATTTTAAAAGCTATTAAAACAAATATAAAAAAATGTAACTGTAAATAGTCATAAAAAGAAAATCTTACAGGAATTAAATTTTGAATCTGCTTTGTATCGCTTTCGAAAAAAAGGTAGGGTAAATCTCCGTTATATTGCTTGCTCTTTGAACACCGGCGATGGAATATTATTTACACCGTTTTCATATTTGCTTTGCTCTATAAAAAAAACGAATCTAAAGGACTCCCTCTTTTTTTTTTGTCTCCTCTCCTTCAAAATGCTCCTGTGTAATCTATTATGTCCCCCCACCTTTTTGTGTTCCCCTTCCGTATATATAAAAAAACTGCTAAAAACCAACATTAACCTCTCTCTTTTCCTCTGCAATCAACTGTCGTCCATTGGGCTTGAATTGGGCCCGCAACTGGTTCAAGGTCGGGTTAGGTTGTGATTGCTTTGAGTCTGCTTCGACTCGGCCCCGGATAAAAACGAGAATCTACAGCTGCCCCTCTTTGTTCATTGTCGTGCAACGAGAATAGAGCAAAGATCAAAAGATGGTGTGTTTTTATCCAGTTCCATCTTCGTGCTTTGAAACTTGATGAGGATATGCTCCCTCTTCTTTGAACAATCTTCAACCAGTGGGTTCGCTCCCTCTTGCTTCAAGGAATAGAACTCAAAATATCTTCTTCCTACGGGTTCACTCCCTCTTGCTTAAAGGAGTAGAACTCGAACAATCTTCTTCCTACGGGTTCGTTCCTTCTTGCTTCAGGGCTTAGAACTCGAACAATCTTCTGTCTATGGGTTCGCTCCCTCTTGCTTCAGGGAGTAGAACTCGAACAATCTTCTGTCGACGGGTTCGCTCCCTTTTGCTTCAAGGAGTAGAACTCGAACAATCTTCTTCCTATGGGTTCGCTCCCTCTTGCTTCGGGGAGTATAACTCGAACAATCTTCTGGTGTGATTCTGCTTCACTATTCTTCCATGAAGGCTCAACTTCGAAGGTTAAACCTGAAAATCAAACGTTGTCACTCATTAATGTATGCTTGAAGATTTGAAAAACATTATACTCGAAAAATGTAAAATTTAAGAGAATCTTTGAGAATCCATTTCTCTTGAGGGAGCTTGTCTCGCAACAACTAGATATGAGAATCTTCTTGGACTCGGTTGCCATCTGAATCTCTCTCTTCCTGGGACCTTGAATTGGTTAATGACTCCTCGTACGTATTTCTTTTTAATCAATTGATCCGCTTCTTTATACTCGAGAACCTTTAATTTTCTCCTACATTTGATGATCTGATGGCTTACTCCAACGCTCTTCCAAGAAGACTTAAAATGGCCCGAATGACTTATCACCTTGGTGTGAAAACATCATACCCGAATGACTTATGGATGACCCGAAAGATTTATTATCTTTCTCGAAAGACTCAAAAATGACCCGAATAATTTAATCATCATGCTCGAAAGACTTACTGATGGCCCGAATGATTTAATCATCATGCTCGAAAGACTTACTGATGACCCAAAAGATTTAATCATTATGCTCGAAAGAATTCATCATCATGCTCGAAAGACTTACTGATGGCACTTACTGATGGATTTGCTTCACTACTCTTCAGTGAAGGCTTACAAATTACCCGAAGGATTTAATCATCATGCTCGAAAGACTTACTGATGGCCCGAAGGACTTCATCATCATGCTCGAAAGACTTACTGATGACACTTATTGATGGGTTTGCTTCACTACTCTTCGGTGAAGGCTTACAAATTACCTGAAAGACTTAATCATCATGCTCGAAAGCCTTACTGATGGCCCAAAGGACTTAAATTGTTTAATGGGTAAGAAACCTTTCTTATTTTTCAAAATCTCAAATTTCATATTTTAATGAGAAATATTTCTCATTTCACTTCATAAAATGACTTAATGGTCGGTCCACGTGCCCCGCTTCAAAGCAATGCTTCCTATGTGGATTGACCCCTGCGTTCCTCAGGTTCTGCCTCTCTAAACATAATTCCCCGTATTTGAT